CTAAATGGATTTTGATGAAATTTTACAGTAATATAGCTTATGCATCAGAATAACACACAGGCTATATTTTTTATTAAACTTTAACGCATGAAACATACAGTTCTAAATGAGCTTCATTTGTACTATATTACAGACTTTAATTTTAAACTTCTGCTATGGTTGCACTAATAAAATATAGGTATATCACGTTCTACTGCGTTGTGCGTGTTACCCCACAATAAATTACTAAATAGCCCCTTGTCTGGCAACCTCGTTTCGACTAGCATAAGAATATCCGATAGTGATATTGGGGCAAGAACGCGGTACGCCTGGGCGTGGCCAGCCTCTTACCTGCTCCGAACGTTCAGTTCAATGCATAATTTTCAATTACATTGACAAATCAGTGTAACACCAACGACATATTTTCAACAAACTCCAAAAAATCATCAGGATTCTCAATTCTAATGGATAATTAACTATGTACTGTATTTGTGAATTATTGTTCCTCGCAGAGCATGAGTGATCAATAAATTATTTCATTAAAATGTTTTCTTTTGCATGCATTATGGGTATATTTATGAAATATTTATAATTTATAAGAAGTAGACTGTACAAAGATGTCTGCGTAAGCTCAGTTTCAGTTTCGGCGACCAAGCAGCTTGTTTTGTAAGCTGTGTTTCGATTGAAGGATGCTATTAGGTAGTGAAATTAGAGGATAAGAGGAAAATGGGTTATCATTCCACATGATTAAGTTATCATAACTTAATCATCTGGAATGATAACCCATTCGTCTCATCAGTCGCATGTCCACGGGTATCACATGATAACGTGATGACCATAGCGCTATTCATGTACCTATATAGGATTTAGTTATCCATTACCATTAGATGAGCCAAACAAAAAAAGTCTTATATGTGCAATCGATAGTTCATACTTATATCCTTTTTTTCTTTTACGTATATTCTCTCCATAACTGTAACATCATGACTATTCATGTAGTAGAAATAGTCTCTATTCTATGCTATGCTTACCAAATCATAGGCAAAATGTAGTCATAGGTAATTTCCGATGGTCACGGATTCGATTCCTTCGGGGATGTAAACAACCGTATTCATACCTATTATTATTTGTATCGGTGTGGCTATTTTCTGTATATATTGTGTATTTTTTTACAATATATATATATATATATTGTATATCAGTTGCCTATTACCCATTAATCTGAACCTATTACTATGGCCCTTTGTGGACTACACAGAGTCATCTAGTAATGGGTTCAGAGTTATTATTATTATTTCGTATACATAGATTTGCTCTTGGTCTTACCTCTCCTGATGGAAAATGCTGAGAAGACCTAGAATTACTTATTTTAAAAGATACATATTCTCCATTGACTAGAACAGAGTCAAGGTGAGAAGTAAGGGAGAACGTGTCCGGGGTAGTATTTCTCCGGGAACACATTCTTTGGCAGTACGCATTAAAATTAAGAACTGTTAATAATTAATTAAAAAAAGTATCTTGTGTTATATATCTATTAAATAAATTATAATGGATATTGAACGCAAGATACTTTTTTTTTTAATTTAGAACTATCTTGACTTTTAATGGCTAAACAATTTAACTACATCGTCAAGACCAGTCGCATCGATCATCTAATAAATCTAACATGAATAATTATGTACGAGTCTATAATTATTTAATTTTATATTTAATTAATATGTATAGGTAGATATACCTTCATTCAAGTGCAATTTCTCATTTAATAGTGTAATAACGAGACATCAGTTTGGTCTAAAATACGATCTATTGGTATTCACTACACATAACTCTTGCCTACTTGTTTTGCTAGTCTATTATAGTATCAAATCTAAGTTCGATTGTAAAGCTGTCTAACTTTATGTTAATATCAAAGGATTTAGGATCAAACATAACTGACTAAAGTTACAAATAACTTGCTTACAAGCTGCCGTAGGCGCTAGATGTCGCTATATCTGAAGCAGTTCGGATTACTAGTGGGTGATTAGTAATAAAGCATGAAAATAGATGGCAGAGAATTCGGTCTACATGACATCTGTTTTGCAAAGATACGTACATAATAGATATATAACTGTATCGAACCCTGATTGGGTACAATCGAAAATTCAATGTAGGTATAATATTGTTCGCTGACAGTCTCCAGACACGGCTAATGTACCTATGTATCTATGTACTATGTTACAGTTACTTTTTTACATGCCTACTTTTTTTCTCCCGACGAAGATATGTCGTAACGCGTCTGCACTAAAATCGGGCTATCGGTTAAGGAGCAATAGCTCCTTAACGAATAGCCCGATTTTAATACGGTTTTTTTTATTTAAATTGTTATGTGATAGTGATAGATTATAGCTATAATCAATTGATGTGCATATGGGTACCTCATATAATTTTCAGTGTATAATTATTTCTCAATATGTAGTTAATTATGGTAAACTGGTAATTTGTAAAACTGAAAATAATATCTGCAAACCATCAATCTGTTATATGTATAGGTTCTTTCAGGGATACTACATCGGTGCTAATGACATGTAGGTACTTATTTTGATGTTATACCTATTTGTAGAACCTTCGATATCTACAAACTACGTCTTTACTGCTAGTTTTTTGGTATTTATGTAAGTTGTTATTCAGTTGAAATTAAGCTGCGAAATTACAGGATATTTGGACATAACATCTATGTTCTCCGGAATGATAACGTATGCGGGATATCGCGGGCACATGATGACGTAATGCTGTTTAATAATATATGTGTATGTATGTACGTCGGATAACGTCGTGGTTGGATGGATCGTCAGCTTATTTACCATTTCAGTTAATAATAGTAGGTAGTAACTTTTGACAATATGGATGAGGGAGGGTAACGGTGATGATGATGAGATCAATAATGACTGTTGACGATAGTGACGATGGTATTTATTTATGACCACCATAAAATTCATCATTGGCAGTATTCTCAACATTATCATCATTGTTCATCATGATGATTGAGATCAAATTAATTAATTGATTAAAAAAGTAGCAAGTATTAGGTAGGTACTAAGTCCTTATATGACTTAAATACAAGGTTCTGGGATGCTGTGATATACTACAGTCTCTAGATTTAGTTTCTTATTAGTATTCCACGACCAAAGTCTATAGACAGAGAAATATAGATTTACACAAAGTTTTTTGATGTAAATGGGAATTATTATACACATTGCATTAAAAAATATATATGATTACCATCTAATACAAAATCATTATGTAGTAAATAATTCCTGACATTTTAAATCGAATGAGGTGAAACTAACATTGCATGAACACAACACTTGAAGATCATAAAATTTTTATTTCAGGTAACAAAACACTTTTAAATAATGTATTAATCACAGAATAAACAATTGTTAATAATTTACAATAATATTTCTTTCACTGCTTGTCTGTTATACCACTAAAACTTCAAACACTTCTGTTATTTTTATATTATATTCCAAATAAATCAAATTCAAGACATAATATTTCATCAAAATCATTTCATAATTAATTCCTGGTACACAAAATATTCCTGGATTTGTTGATGAAGCAATATAATAATAATCATGTGTTTAAATCATAAACTTATTTGCAGTCGGTTACACATAATATAATTACTTGGAATTTCTTCTCATCACTAGTCCATTGCTTTCTTACTTATTTAATTATATTATTAATTGCATTGTGATTAATAATTTACAGATTTTTCTTCTGCTTTTTTCTCTTATTTTTACTTGCATTATTATTTTATACAATAAAATGTTCATATGTATATGTTAGAACGAGGTTTGCAATCGATGTCTAGACTGGCTGGTATGGCAGATGAAGTATGTTTGAATATTTGAAAAGAGAGTGTGTTTTGTCATCTTGTCTGTCGTCGTATTGATGTATCTATAACTTATCTGTATATTGTATTAAATGTGTTTTTATATTTTTTATTTTGATTAGAAATATATTTTGTTTATCTTATTCTACGTTATTTACTTGAACACCACTATAGTTACTCTGTTAACGTGAGAAGTTCGGAGGTAACTTCCCTCACAGGTTATGGGCAACAAAAATCAAGTAAATACGAATACAGGAGTGTATTAAGGATATATGATTTACGAAAACGGTGAGAGCACCCCTATTTCTATTCAATATAAAAACACAAGTACGGAGATGAGTATACCATCAACATCAAGTGCGGGATCTGGACTCCCAGCGATAGAGAAACTGCAAGGGAGTAGCAACTTCGATACATGGAAGTTTGATGTGGAGTGTATTTTAGTCCATGATGATCTGTGGCAGTATGTAGAAAAAGTACCTAACCCTGAAGATGTTGTAGCACGTCGAGGAGATCAAAAGGCACGTACTAAAATTTGTCTATTGATTGAAAACCATTGCAAGGTACATGTTCGAAAAGCAACGAGTGCATTTCAAACATGGAACAATATAAAAACAGCATATGAGGATAAAGGCGTTAATAATAGGTGCAGACAACTATCAAAACTAGTAAGCCTAAAGCTTAACATGTTTAATTCAATAACCGAATATGTTACTGAGCTTATGAGAGTAGCGAATCAGTTAGCAGACCTTGGAAAGGAGGTTGACGATGAGCTGTTGGCAGCCCTGATGCTACAAGGTTTACCAGATAAATACACACCAATGAGGTTGGCATTAGAGAATGCTAATACTGAATTAACTTCAGATTATGTAAAAACAAAACTTTTACAATTGGATGACAATAAAGCAAGTACGAGTACAAGCTTTACAGTTTCAAATAATACAGCATTAACAGCGAAACCGAAGAAAAAGTTTGTTCAGAGGAAACAAACAGAGAAAAAGAAAATAAAATGCTTTATTTGCGAAGGTCCACACAAGGCATGTGACTGTCCGCACAATCCGAGAGAAGCTAAAACTGCTCACACAATGACGGCATTAGCTTTAAAGCATCAACAATCTACATCAACAGAACACGATGAAACATGGATTATAGATTCTGGAGCATCGACACATATGAGTTCTAGAAGAAATTGTATGTATAACTATGTAGAGGCTAGTAATAAGGTAGAAATATTTTGCGCGGATGGAGGTAAGGTATATGGTGAAGGTTTTGGTGTGATGACGAATGAGTCATTAAATATTACTATTGGAGGTGTAATGTATGTACCAAAGCTTGAATCAAACCTATTGAGTGTAAGTAGACTGGTCAAAAGCGACAAGGTTGTTGTTTTCTCAGAGAATGGCTGTAATATCTATAATAAGAATGAATGTATTGTGAAAGGTAAGATTTGGTTGGAAGGTGTGCTTGATAGAGGTGTATACAAACTAAAATCTTCTTCACAGGAAAGTGCATTAGCGACTACACAAAGCGGAGGCTTGGAGCTATGGCACAAAAGGTTAGCGCATTTAGGAGTACGTAACCTTAAATTGCTAAGAGATAAAATGGCAACAGGGGTAAGTTTCAAGAATACACCTACTTGCAATTTACAATGTGTAGCATGCCTGATGGGTAAACAAACAAGACAACCATTTCTTAAACATACAAAGGCTAGCCAAAGAGCCAAAGAACTTCTAGAGTTAGTTCACTCAGATATTAGTGGTCCAATGACTGAGGAGTCTATCGGAGGTCATAGATACTATATAACATTTATCGATGATTATTCTCGAAAAACTTTTGTATACTTTATTAAGCATAAGAGTGAAGCTTTTGATAAGATTAAACTTTTTAAAACTTTTACAGAAAAACAAACTGGTAAAAAGTTAAAGGTCTTGAGAACAGACAATGGAAGAGAATATGTAAATAATCAAGTAGACGAGTCTCTAAGGGAACATGGCATTAAGCGTCAACTCTCGAATGCGTACACACCTGAGCAAAACGGAGTTGCCGAACGTGCAAATCGCACTATAGCAGAGAAGGCACGTGCGATGCTACAAGAAGCAGGTCTCCCTACTCGTTTATGGGCAGAAGCGGTGAATACTGCAGTCTATATTGGAATCTTCGGAATATGCAGTTGAAGAATAGAAGTCCAACAGTTGCAGTTAGAAATAAGACACCTGAAGAGGTATGGACTGGCAGAAAAATTAACCTAAACCACCTAAGAATTTTCGGATGTAGGGCGTTTGCACATATCCCAGATGTCAAAAGGACAAAATGGCTTCCTAAAAGCAAAGAAGTTATTTTTGTTGGATATTCCGAAGAATCAAAGGGATATAAATTATTTGACCCCTCAACAGAAAATTGTTACGGATCTAGAGATGTCATATTTTTTGAAAACCAGTATTACCGCATAAACGATGAAAACAAAGAACAAAAGTATACAACCGTCAACCTTGATAATGTTTCAGAGGAAGCTGAACAACCCAATGAGAACTTTCAACATGAAGAAGCAGTTCAGGAAGAGGATTTGCAAAGGAATGATGGAGATCATACCGATGTAATCACGGAAACTGAGAATGTTGAATACGAAATTGACCGGTGCACATCATTTGAAGACAGTCTAAATGAAGAACCTACAACCGTAAGTGGAGAAGCTGAAGTGCAAGAAAGGAGATATCCGACTCGAGTAAGGAAACCTGTCCAATTTCCTGATTACGTCACTTACCAAGCGATATCAGAAGATGATCCACTTAATGTTAGAGAGGCACTGTCTAGAAAAGATGCCAAGCTATGGAGAGACGCTATACAGGAAGAACTAGATGCACTAAAGAAGAACAAAACTTGGGTCCTAGTGAAGCCTGACCAAGCGAGTAACATTGTTGATTCGAAATGGTTATTCCGAATCAAAAAGGAGGCGGGGAATAAAACTCGATACAAGGCTCGCTTAGTTGCCCGAGGCTTCAGTCAAAGGAAAGGCATTGATTATGATGAGACATTCTCCCCTGTAGTGCGACATAGCTCACTGAGACTGTTGATAGCTTTGGCTGCGCAAAATGGTCTACAGATAGACCACATGGATGTCAAAACAGCTTTCTTAAATGGTAATCTCAATGAAGTTGTTTATATGAGGCAACCACCAGGCTTTGAAGAAAAAGGTAAAGAGGATTATGTATGTCTATTAAAGAAATCTTTGTATGGTTTGAAGCAGGCACCACATTCCTGGAACCTGAAGTTACATACCGAGCTAGAGAGCTTAAACTTCAAGCGCTGCAAGAATGAACCCTGTGTATATACAAGGAGAACAGAGAAGAATTCTATCATCCTTATAGTATATGTAGACGACATTCTTATCCTCTATAATAATTCACAAGAAATGCAAAAAGTTAAAAGTGACTTGATGTCAAAATTTGAAATGAAGGATTTAGGAAAGGCGGAGCTGTTCTTGGGCATGAGGCTCAGACAAGAGAAAGGCCGCATTAAAATAGATCAGGAAGAGTATATAGAAAAACTCTTACGCAAATTTCGGATGGAAGACTGTAAACCAGTTGCCACTCCAGCTGTTCCTGGTCAACATTTTATAAAACCAGACAATATGCATAGGCCAGATGAGAAAGTTCCATATAGGGAACTTATAGGTTCACTCATGTATCTTTCTGTATGTACAAGACCCGATATTGCACACGCAGTGAATTTTATGAGTCAATTTTGCAATTGTTTTGAGGAAGTTCACTGGACAGCAACAAAGAGGATCCTGAGATACCTTAAAGGTACGAAAAGTTTGGGACTGGTATATTACAGGGATGAACGAGGAACAGTTCAAGGTTTCTGTGACGCTGATCATGCACATGATCTAGTCGACAGAAAGTCCTATTCCGGAAATGTATTTAAGATGGCAAAAGGAGCCATTTCATGGCAAAGCACTAAACAAAGAAGTGTTGCCATATCAACCGCTGATGCTGAATATGTCAGTCTGTCAGAAGTCTTATCACTTTGTGCGAGAGACTCTAGAGAATGGAGTAATAGATTTGAAATATTTGGAGACAAAGTTAATGGTTGCTGATATTATGACAAAGGCAGTGCATAGAGGCAAGCATGAGTTCTGTCGTAGTGAGATGGGTGTTGTGGATTAGTTTGTGTGTGAGAGGATTGTGAGGAGTATGCTACTAAGAGAAAGTCTGAAGGCAACGATTGAGGAAGAGTGTTAGAACGAGGTTTGCAATCGATGTCTAGACTGGCTGGTATGGCAGATGAAGTATGTTTGAATATTTGAAAAGAGAGTGTGTTTTGTCATCTTGTCTGTCGTCGTATTGATGTATCTATAACTTATCTGTATATTGTATTAAATGTGTTTTTATATTTTTTATTTTGATTAGAAATATATTTTGTTTATCTTATTCTACGTTATTTACTTGAACACCACTATAGTTACTCTGTTAACGTAAGAAGTTCGGAGGTAACTTCCCTCACAGTATATACATATATATTTCTTATTCTTTTGAACTCCTGTTCTTCACAGTAAAAATGTTATTTATCTTCATATCTGAATGACTAGGAGATTTAGAATATCATCTCTTATTTGTTTAAACTTTGTTCAGTATTAAGTTGTTGATGTCAGGAAAATCTGAAAACAATATCATATACCTACGTTACATTTTCATGAACTTACATGAATGAATTTACATGAAAGTAACTAAACTGTAACCTTATTAGCACAATAAACATATTATTCATACATCATATTCATTCAGTTCTAATAAAATATAAAAATAATACTACTGTTTAGTACTTTATTTTGATTAATAATTTTCAGTATTTTCTCAATCAATCAAAAATTCAAAAATTATAAAATCAGTGTTAGTTTTTTGAAGTTACATTCATAACAATAATAAAAACATAATAATACCACATTAAAGCGGTCACCAAGTACCTATGTTTATTATATTTTAATATGAAAGATACACACGCTACATATGCAAGTTTTTAACAACTTATAGTTATACCTGGTATAAGATAATCCTCAAAGACACGATAGTTTACTAAATATTTGTAGTATTTCTTAGACACATTTAAATTATTGAGTTTGACAAAAAAATAAGAAGTTCAAAACAGGAACAATTCAAAAGTTGAATTGAAGTACCTACTTAACTTAAATGATGAAAAAAGAGAAAAAATCCAATGCTAGTGAAAATATGTTTTAAGCATTTGACTTAAAGTCGTTTATCCTATTCTTTTATTCCTATATTTTATATTTTTAACTTTTTTTTTTTTATTTATTTAATATTTTACGGCTCTGGATACAAGTCCTTTTTAGCCCAACATAAAATACAAAACCTAAAAAAAAATTATAATTTCTTCCCAGTGTTAGAAATAAATTTATATAAAGTCTTGAATAGTGCAGGCCTTGATAAGATCTCTTCTAGAGACTTCGGTACTTCATTAATATGCTCTTGAATCTCGTGAATGAGTAATAATCTGTCGAGTCCGTATTTTCTACATTTGAATATAATATGATTCAAATCTTCATCTTCATTGCAGTGAGGACATTTTGGGTTGTGAACCATTTTCATTCTGTACAGGTGAGTGCGAGTTTGATTATGACCAAATCTCATACGATTAATAGTCGTGATAAATTGTCTGCTGTCGACGTCTTTATTGTTGTGGTACCAAGGTTTGGCGGGCAGGCTTCCTTGGATCTTGGCATACTATTTTCCCTTATCGTTAGCAATATTTATGTAATAGTTATTCCATAATAATTTTAGAGCATTTTTAAGTGAGCTATAATAGTCGGTGAATGAAACTTTAAACATATTCGAGTGGTCTTCATTATGAACATTCCGAGCAGCTTGATCCGCTATTTCATTTCCAGCAATTCCTTTATGACCAGGTACCCACAAGAATGTTACCTGCTTACCGTTGTTTTTCAGATCATAAATATTTTGTCTGATATTATACAATAAATAGTTTAAATTATATCTAAGAGATATATTTTTAACCTTTCATTTATGTTGCCAGTACTCGTTGTCATTTCGATATAATAAAAAAATATGGACCAACCTACGATTTTAAATCGATATTTTTATTTGTGATGAAATCTAATAATATAAATTATGAATAACCTACCCTCGAATGGAGATATTAAAAAACTAATTATCATGAATAGTAGGTATTAGGATAAGTAATATATCATAGTATTATGAATGATTATCGTTTCAAAACCTTGTACAATTTAGATTTTAGGTTGAAAATATCCTTCTACAAAAGCAAAATTCGAGTATTTGTAAAGTTTCTTATGAGTATTTGTAAAAATTCGAGGATCCTCATATTTAGCTATCAATGACAGTAATTTAGATACCATATAACACTTGTTTATTGAGGTTTCATAAAGGTATAGCTGACCTTATATACTCTATACCACATTCAATTCTCATTCATTAAATTACAATAAGTAGGTATTTATTTTATTAATAGAAAAACAATGTCACTAATGTCATTAATTGCTATAATTACCAGGGTGACCGCGTGGAGGTTGATATAATAGAGTACACTTGTATCAGATCAATCTAATTAATATTTCCCTCTTCAAGTTTTGAAGTTATGAGCGAACAGATAAATATATAGTACTTGCGTACCTGTCAAAATCTCTCTATTTTGCCGTCGTCGAGTAAAAATTATGCATTGCAATTCGTTCCAAATAAGAGTATAATACAAAATGATGAAATTTTACTGTTTGCAAAGACTAATTAAAAGCACCATCGAACAATGCGTTGTAATATCCTGTTATCGATTATTCGAAAAAATCGGTAATCTATGCATTTATTTTTGATATGGCAACGCTTTCTAAATAAGTATTACTGGCATAATATGGTTTTCTTGTTTAGCTGTTTTATATTTACTTAAACTTTTTTTATGTTTAATTTATCATAATAATATAGTAAGTACTTATTATTTGAAAATATAAAATAAACATTTAAAATACGGTGATACAAATGAAAACAGTGCCATCTATGAAAGTCTTTTGGAAACAATAAGCCCCAATTAGCAATGATTAAATTGTAAACAAATACAGGGCAACAACAAAA